CTAATCACCCAAACATACACATTCACTCTATACATCCACATGTACACCGTTCATTCACACCACGTTACAAATCATCATGTCGGTACACACATCACTCAACATGAACAACCAACACAACTGTGTCCACCATCAACACAATCCAAATTCAATTCAATCATTCATCAATCCACGAACACACAAACACACAAGCACACAAGCACACACACACACATATATATATATATATATATATATACACTCACACACTCAAAACCATCATACACAACTATGCCACATACTGAATCACATCTACTCCATACAGAAACAACTCCACTCATACTACACTACAACCATCTGTCCCACACCAATCTCTCTTCAACGACTACACTCATGCGAACGATCATCGTCAGAACAATCCACACTGACCATCATAGACACACGCACAAACAAGTATTCATTGTCAGAATCAGTTCAGCATCACTGCTGTACACAGTCTCAGTGTTTTACAAGCGAGCACCGAGTCAATCAGTGGTGTGTCGCACTCTTAATCAATCATTCACACCTTCACGCTCTCATGCATTAACTCACTCACACACTCATTAGGATATTCAATGGATCACTCGGTGTGTGTTGGTCTGACCACCTCAAAGATATTGAACCGGACTCGGTCTAGTAGATGAAGGCACGGGACGTGTAGTGGACGATCGGTGTGATGCGACATAATGGATGGGCAATAGTGGAGTGTGATGCGATGATCAGCAAGACAGGGTACTGGTTGTCCAGACGACGCAGACGACCAGTCGGCTGCCTGATCTTCGCACACCATGAGTGGGTGGTGAGTGCACGCTCAGACACGTTGGTGATGTGCTGGTCGCTGGCGATTCGATTCATTGTGGTGAGGCGACCAACGACACAGTGTGGCTCGTGATTGACTGGTCGGTGTGGTGCATCGAGTGATGTCGGACCAAAAGCCCACCATCTCCGGCGAGGCGGATTCGAACCACCGACCTAAGGATCAATGCACCAATCTACAGTCCTCCGCTCTACCAACTGAGCTATCGCCGGACGTGCGCTCGCACAATAACACATCACTTCACACTTCAATACCACCACCAACACAACCAACACAAACAACACACATACTCACAATTCTATAACACAATCAACCATCTCATCCCACATTCAACACTCGTGCACACGTAACCTGCAAAATACAAAACACACCACCAATTACATATCACCAATACACCCACATACATACAACTAAACACCAACACCACCTATCACATTACAACCGACACAGCTCGTCACATCACAGAACATCCACACTCAGTCATTCACTCACTCGCAACTCCTCCATCAACACTCACAATCTTCAACACAAATATTCACACACACACACACACACACACACGTACACTCTCTCCCTCACTCATTCACACAAACACACGTCTCACCTCAGTCTACCGAGGACACAATCAACCTCGTCTGTGCTGCATCACACACACTAATCCAAACTACACTTCGTCATACACATCTCCCTAATCACCCAAACATACACATTCACTCTATACATCCACATGTACACCGTTCATTCACACCACGTTACAAATCATCATGTCGGTACACACATCACTCAACATGAACAACCAACACAACTGTGTCCACCATCAACACAATCCAAATTCAATTCAATCATTCATCAATCCACGAACACACAAACACACAAGCACACAAGCACACACACACACACATATATATATATACACTCACACACTCAAAACCATCATACACAACTATGCCACATACTGAATCACATCTACTCCATACAGAAACAACTCCACTCATACTACACTACAACCATCTGTCCCACACCAATCTCTCTTCAACGACTACACTCATGCGAACGATCATCGTCAGAACAATCCACACTGACCATCATAGACACACGCACAAACAAGTATTCATTGTCAGAATCAGTTCAGCATCACTGCTGTACACAGTCTCAGTGTTTTACAAGCGAGCACCGAGTCAATCAGTGGTGTGTCGCACTCTTAATCAATCATTCACACCTTCACGCTATCATGCATTCATTCATGCATTCATTCATGCATTAACTCACTCACACACTCATTAGGATATTCAATGGATCACTCGGTGTGTGTTCGTCTGACCACCTCAAAGATATTGAACCGGACTCGGTCTAGTAGATGAAGGCACGGGACGTGTAGTGGACGATCGGTGTGATGCGACATAATGGATGGGCAATAGTGGAGTGTGATGCGATGATCAGCAAGACAGGGTACTGGTTGTCCAGACGACGCAGACGACCAGTCGGCTGCCTGATCTTCGCACACCATGAGTGGGTGGTGAGTGCACGCTCAGACACGTTGGTGATGTGCTGGTCGCTGGCGATTCGATTCATTGTGGTGAGGCGACCAACGACACAGTGTGGCTCGTGATTGACTGGTCGGTGTGGTGCATCGAGTGATGTCGGACCAAAAGCCCACCATCTCCGGCGAGGCGGATTCGAACCACCGACCTAAGGATCACTGCACCAATCTACAGTCCTCCGCTCTACCAACTGAGCTATCGCCGGACGTGCGCTCGCACAATAACACATCACTTCACACTTCAATACCACCACCAACACAACCAACACAAACAACACACATACTCACAATTCTATAACACAATCAACCATCTCATCCCACATTCAACACTCGTGCACACGTAACCTGCAAAATACAAAACACACCACCAATTACATATCACCAATACACCCACATACATACAACTAAACACCAACACCACCTATCACATTACAACCGACACAGCTCGTCACATCACAGAACATCCACACTCAGTCATTCACTCACTCGCAACTCCTCCATCAACACTCACAATCTTCAACACAAATATTCACACACACACACACACACACGTACACTCGCTCCCTCACTCATTCACACAAACACACGTCTCACCTCAGTCTACCGAGGACACAATCAACCTCGTCTGTGCTGCATCACACACACTAATCCAAACTACACTTCGTCATACACATCTCCCTAATCACCCAAACATACACATTCACTCTATACATCCACATGTACACCGTTCATTCACACCACGTTACAAATCATCATGTCGGTACACACATCACTCAACATGAACAACCAACACAACTGTGTCCACCATCAACACAATCCAAATTCAATTCAATCATTCATCAATCCACGAACACACAAACACACAAGCACACAAGCACACACACACACATATATATATATATATATATATATATACACTCACACACTCAAAACCATCATACACAACTATGCCACATACTGAATCACATCTACTCCATACAGAAACAACTCCACTCATACTACACTATAACCATCTGTCCCACACCAATCTCTCTTCAACGACTACACTCATGCGAACGATCATCGTCAGAACAATCCACACTGACCATCATAGACACACGCACAAACAAGTATTCATTGTCAGAATCAGTTCAGCATCACTGCTGTACACAGTCTCAGTGTTTTACAAGCGAGCACCGAGTCAATCAGTGGTGTGTCGCACTCTTAATCAATCATTCACCCCTTCACGCTATCATGCATTCATTCATGCATTCATTCATGCATTAACTCACTCACACACTCATTAGGATATTCAATGGATCACTCGGTGTGTGTTGGTCTGACCACCTCAAAGATATTGAACCGGACTCGGTCTAGTAGATGAAGGCACGGGACGTGTAGTGGACGATCGGTGTGATGCGACATAATGGATGGGCAATAGTGGAGTGTGATGCGATGATCAGCAAGACAGGGTACTGGTTGTCCAGACGACGCAGACGACCAGTCGGCTGCCTGATCTTCGCACACCATGAGTGGGTGGTGAGTGCACGCTCAGACACGTTGGTGATGTGCTGGTCGCTGGCGATTCGATTCATTGTGGTGAGGCGACCAACGACACAGTGTGGCTCGTGATTGACTGGTCGGTGTGGTGCATCGAGTGATGTCGGACCAAAAGCCCACCATCTCCGGCGAGGCGGATTCGAACCACCGACCTAAGGATCACTGCACCAATCTACAGTCCTCCGCTCTACCAACTGAGCTATCGCCGGACGTGCGCTCGCACAATAACACATCACTTCACACTTCAATACCACCACCAACACAACCAACACAAACAACACACATACTCACAATTCTATAACACAATCAACCATCTCATCCCACATTCAACACTCGTGCACACGTAACCTGCAAAATACAAAACACACCACCAATTACATATCACCAATACACCCACATACATACAACTAAACACCAACACCACCTATCACATTACAACCGACACAGCTCGTCACATCACAGAACATCCACACTCAGTCATTCACTCACTCGCAACTCCTCCATCAACACTCACAATCTTCAACACAAATATTCCACACACACACACACACACACGTACACTCACTCGCCCACTCGCTCACTCACTCTCTCACTTACTCTATCACTTGCTCCCTCACTCATTCACACAAACACACGTCTCACCTCAGTCTACCGAGGACACAATCAACCTCGTCTGTGCTGCATCACACCTACATTTATTAAGAATATTATTTTCACTTGTCTAGTTTATTGCCTGCGATGTTTTGTAATGAAAGTATTTGAATCAATTCGTTGTTGATTTTTTTTTTATTTTTTTCGCTTTTTTTATTGATTTTTACTTCTTTCTGTCGTTCATTTTCTTTCAATTTTTTATTTCTGTTTTTCTTTTGTTGCTTTTATCTTATCTTTTCTACGTTTTATGTTTTTCAACTGATTTGCATGCCCGTTCTTTTTTTTATTTTTTTATTTTATCTTTTTTTCGTGTTTTCTTTTTCTTCTTTACTTTTCTTTTCTTTTTTATTCCATACTTTCTATATATTATCGTCTATATATGTATCTTATTCATTGTATATCAAATTATTATTATTATTATTATTATGATTTACTTACTGACATTTCATATTCCCATTCATTGGTTTAGTTGAACATTGGAATTGATTCAATTGTTTACTATCTCTTTGTTGTATTCCATTTAGATCCAGTACTAATATACGACATGGTCTATTGTAAAACGTCTCATTTTTATTCTATAAAATGATAATACAAATCTATTTAAGTAATTGTAGTTCATAGATAATGTTATATATTGAATTAGTGATAAATCCTGTTAATTGAATGCCCAGACTCAGTTCCTAATTAACATGTGCTCACTGGTGACTAGCTTCGTGAGGGAATTCTCGGAGTTCTAGTGAGAAGCCGTGACCAGTGGAGCTAATCCGTGTCGGGTAGAGACAGGTATCTACCTCAGTACAATGGAAGTTCGTCGCGCAATTTCGTGAATTGGTTGATGTTAGACACTAACACCATTGGATGCCAGCTCAATGGTCTAGTTGGTTAAGCGCCTGGCGCGAGACCGATAGGTCCTGGGTTCGAATCTCGCAAGGCGCGGGACCGTGGATGCGCACTGCTGAAGAGTCCCATACTAGGACGAAACGGCCGTCTAGTGCTTCCAGGTTTCCAACGGTGGTCTAACATCAATTAATTCATGGTCTCAATCAAAAACTTAACAATCTCGACAACCCCTACACAGTTACTTAAACATGAGAGAAAAGACGCCAGATATGAGAGAAAACACTCGACTACAAAGTTTCGTTTATTTGTAAAAAAAATCTAGAGTTTTTGTAGTATATATTTAGATGGCCTTGGTTTGATGGATACGGAGAGTTCATCAAGGAGAGTTGGAAAACCCTTATTTCAGACTAATGGTGAATGCCCGCCTCAGAATTCTGAAGGAATAAATGAAGTATGAACCAATTATTGGTCACCAACTATCATGGGACTGCATCTCTTGACGTTTCTCCTCTGCCTTGTGTATGAAACTTTTACGTCGAAGGTTTCGTGTGTATAAACCCCAAAGAAAACTATCTGCTTCAGTTTAGGCACATCGGGCACTACCATAGTCTATACACAAATCAAGCGAGTTGTATGACGCATATGTATTCGGTGCTCCTTTTTATCAATATTTATATGTCCAAATAAATACGTTAATTTATTGATTAATTTAAGTGCTAGTCCGATCAATTTATGCAAATATAACCAATGAGGAGTTGAGATAAACCATATGAAAATCGATATATTCAGATATAATTTTGATTGATTTCTAATGTCTTTATCTCTATTCATTCATTGTGCACATTTTAGTTTTACTACTGTATGTAACAATTTTCCACAGATTATCTTATCTGTTTACTTTGGCTATGAATAAGCTCTTGTTTTGTTTTTTTTTCTACACGCATTACTTTAAGTGAATGAGATTGTAGTGTCAGTTATTATGCCAAGCCCATATACCTTATTCGAGCTTTCGGACATCCCATTCTATTCATTTTACTTGAGCCATACATTGACCTTGTTATTTATTCGCTTATCAAACTAGACTGTTTTTATATGAGCGTATATGTGTGTGCCCTTCTTATTCCATTAATCACATGTCTGTAGCTTTCTTTTGTCTGACTATAAATATTGAGTAACGCTTGACGAAGATGGAGTTGGCTTCCCAGCCATCTTCCATACGTGTCATTTTGCTCTGTTCTATTACATTTACTTTACATACAAAATATGTGTATTCAAAATCCCATTCTTGTTATTTGACATATCTAAATTCCGTTATTGACTAACGTGATTTAAGTCGACGATAATATACGAGAATCAGCGATAGCAAACATTCTTACGCTCTAAATAGGAGTCAGATTCACGGGCCACAAAAAAACTACATGAATAACTTCGTTTATATTAAACATATACCATCAGATCTTCATCATTGTCTTCTAGATATAATCAAACAATATAACCGGAAAATTGTGTACTATAGTATTGTAATGTTCATATATTCATAGAAACGTAATTTAAAGTAACCACATTAAAAGTTTTATACCAATCAATTGATCCTATTGAGAATCAACTTACAATTTGAGATCTACTATGAGATAAAGACGTTGAAGAGATTGATCCTGAAAACATCTGAAATGAACTTGTTCTATTTGGATAAGAGTAAACATGTGTTAACCTCTCCAAAATTTTATTATCATTAAAAGTGTTATTATTATTTATGAATGAACTGCTTCTCATAAATTCAATTATTGTATTATCATTATTTGTATTCTTTCGAAAATTTTTTGGTTTAAATATTCTTTTACGATAATCAACTAATAATTCCATAGGTATATTTGATATAGTCTCAAGTAATTCTACTAAATTGAATGAATGATTCACAAAATAAAGTCTATGAAGCTAAAAATGTAAAGAAAAAACAAATTTTAGTAAATTATTTTGTATTAAAAAATATACTACTGACTATATATAAGTAGTTCAATTTTGTTTTCTAAAGAACGTTTCTCCTCAAAATGTAACCGTTGTTTGATGATAATAACTAATTGCTACATAAAAAAAAGCTATGAATTGGATACTAATGATAACTTAATAATTACTGAGTATTAGTATTATTATTAGTGGTAACATGCCTTTGTTTCTCCTTCAACCATATCCGGGGAGCATTTGGTCTTGATTCTATGATGAAGTGTCTTAACCAAGTCGTTTTATATGTGTTGCAGAGTATAAAAACTAAGAAATTTTGTATATTGGCATTTCCAAATAGTTTTGTGGTTTAAGTTTCTTCTTAGTGATCCATCTACTCTCCTTGTAAGTAGAACATTTAAAAAGGCTGTTTTACCTCTGTTTTCTTCTTCTTCTTCATATGTGAATTGAATATATGAATGAACTTCATTTAACCACTTGAATGTTTCTAGTCGGTCATTGTGGTCATTACAGGGGATGAAATTATCGTCCATATATCGGCAGTATGCTGTGCCAACACACGTTATTCTAGTTTAGTGAGAAAAATGTCTGCCAATATGGAACCTAGTGTGAATCCATGGCGACATCATATATTTGTCTATAGATTTTACAATTGAATGTGAAATATACGTCCAGAATTCATTTTAGTAAAAATTCCTCAGTGATGTCCACAACGATATATATATATTCATTTTACAATTCCTTTGAACGGGACAATTACAAACAGTGATGTTACGTTTAACGACATCATTGCCCTACCCTTATTGTTTATGTTCCTGGTCTTGTTTGAATAATATGCCTCACTAGATGTGTGGGGAGTGGTTTTGACATGGCTACTAACCACTTCGCTACAATATGATAAGGGGAATTGTATATGTTCAGAATTGGTCTCAACGGGATATCCAGTTTGTGCACCGTCGTTAGTCTGTATATCCTTGGTAACTGGGTACCTATCGGCTTAATTGTAGGTATTTACCAATAATTTCTGAAGACAAACCTGTGGGGGCAGTGAAATGTTACTAAGCCATAGAAAAATCATCCGGCAGTTGGGTCGCTGAATATCGAACAGATCAATAATCTCTGTCAAAGTCAAGGACAACAAACGCGCATCAGTTAATCGTATACCATGGATTCGCGTATGCGATGGTGGTCTCTCTATCTTCTCTGTACTCATTCTTACCGATATATTTCCATAATAACGAACTTTGTATTATACGCTCTTCAAAGCAGCCATAGTACTTTAATACGTCGAATGGGTAATTCACGTTAGACGCTGATCGTGAGGTGTAACTTCGAAGTTAGCTGGTTCGTTACATCATTCCCATCCAACTCGAGTAGGCCTCCAATCATTCAGTATAGATTATCTATGTTAGTGATCTACAAACCCTACCGACATCCTTCTCAAACCTAAAATTAACCACAAAAAAACACTATGCATACTGTAAACAGTCATCATACATAAAAACATACCTGTCCCATTAAAATTAAACTTAATGCATGAATGATAGCAGTTTGAAAATTTTCTGATAAGTTCCCTTGTCGTTTATTCATTAGTAAATCTTCAATTTGTCTATGATGTTGAATGACTCCTTCATAACTATAGGGTTTATATGAAGATGAATTAACTCCAGATAAAGATTGTGTAAAACATAATGGATCAATTGAATTGATATTATCATTCATATTATGAACGTCATAAACATGATTGTTGGTTGAATTAGTAGGAAATGATGAAATAAATGAAGAAGATGATTGTGTAGACCGAAATTTCGTAGCTGATTTCTAGGAATGAAAAATGAAAAAAATGACGATGATGATGATGCTTTGGATGGTGATGATGATGATTCTCATTACAATATGTCAACAAATGAAGTATTAGGACGAAACAGCCGTCCAATGCTTCCAGGTTTTCCATGGTGGTCTAGCTTCAATTGACTCATAAATTCAACTACCATATGAATTATTATTAAAGGGGTGTTAATATGGTGTGTGCTACCTATGTTTATATAAGTAGTATATAACGCTAGTCAAGAATTGAATATCTGGCAACAGAAGGTTGAAAAGATCGAGGAGGGAAGAATGGGAACAGAAAGCAATTGGTATGAAAATGTAGGAACAATGAAATCTGAGACAGTTCATGAACATTTTACAAATGAAGTATTGGTGTATGATTTATAAAGTAACTATGTAATTTTGTGCTAAATATAATCGATCATCTTCACCTGCGTTCTCCTTCACTAGAATAATATGAACTATCTTAATTAATTCGAATGTAGTTGATCTGTGCTGAATGATTGGAGGCCTACTCGAGTTAGATGGGGATGGTGTAACGAAACAGATAACTTAGAAGTCACACCTTGCGATCAGCAACTAACGTGAATTACCCATTCGATGTATCAATGTACTATGAATGCTTTGAAGACCGTATAACACAAAGGACGTTATTACTGAAATATATTAGTTAAAGTAGATACAAGCGAAAGTAAGACCCCCACTGCATGAGCTGGTTCATGGAGTACAATTAACTGATGTGCGTTTGTTTTCCTTGACCTTGACAAGGATCGATGATTCAGTGACTCAACTGCAGGATGATTTGACTATGGCTCAGTGACATTTTACTAACCCTACACTAGTTTACGACTGTTTAGTAAGTCATAAACATAATGCAGAACATTTAGTTCAGCTGAAGTGTGGTAGTTCTCATTTGTAAATTTAGTTCTTGATAAAAACTTACCTAAGATTCAAAACTCTTCAGAAAATCCACTCTTACTTTCGTGGTATATACTACTGATATCGACAGATATAAGTAGTATGTAACATCAATCAAAAATGAAATGCCCAGCGGTAAGAGGTTAAGCACATTGATGAAAAGAGAACGAGAACAGAGAATGATTGATGTGGAAATGAAAGAACAATAAAGTTTGAGACGACACATTGCAAATGAAGTATTGACTGTCTAGTTCTTAGATTTGACTAAGAGATTCTTTATTCAATGACATTCGATAGCCTCCCCACTTGTATTCTCATTCATTACATAACAATCATAGATATAACATCAAAATGATTATACATAAAAAGATATACTACTTATGTAATTGTTACTTACTGAATTGGAATAAAGTTTGATTGGTACACCATATTGATTGTATAGATGTATATGAAACTGGTCATTTAACTTATACATTAAGCTAAAATAAATGAACCCAAAATGATTCATGAAACATACAAGTAAGTATATGTAAAGAGTTAAGATAATTCTAACATTAAATGTTCAGTATAGGGCTTGTGAAGATTATTAAGTTTTTTGAATTGAGATCATAGACGGATTGATGTTAGACCACCATTGAATAATTGGAAGCACTGGATGGTCGTTTCGTTCTATTGTGGGACTCCCCCTGCCAGTAGGATCGTCGACACGCATTGCTGAGGAGTCTCATACTAGGACGAAATGGCTATCCAGTGCTTCCACGTTTTCCATGGTGGCCTATCTTCAATGGACTCATGATCTCAACTATTAAAATTGCCATAATATCTACAAAACTTCTTCTGATATCGATTAGAATACATGAAATCGTTGAGTCGAAATCCGGTTTTTCAATGGATTTATTATGTTTTAATTTCTTATGGTAGATCTCTTAATACCATTCATAGCCTTTTGTAATAAAATTCCATGATATTACTCAAACCATCATTCACTATCATTCATAATATCTTCCTTACTCCAACAGATTACTAATGGCTGTCAAAAAGTAACTTACTTTTCTGAAGGTAATATACTCGCTGTGTGGCCTAATGCTCTAGAATTCAGTTCTAAATGATCTGCTTAAACTGGTGATCACATTATAGCTCTCTGGATAACAATCAGTAGGGAATAAGGACAGAACACACAAGTCTAGTATGTTTTGTGTGTTAGTATAGGAGTCTTATGGAGATTATTCAATTTATGGTTAACTTCACAAACTGGTCTAGGTTAAACGATCATTGAAGGTCAGAAAGCATTAAAGTGCTGTTTCGTCTGATTATAGAATTTCTCATCAGCTCATATTCATGATCAAGTTATGCATTGAACTCAGGACTTTCAGGTCATGTGGCAAGCATTAAGTTAGCATACAACAACTTACATTTTCAACCCAAACCAATTCCCAATACTGAACTACCACCAGCCGTTAACTCACGATGATTTGCTGAACTTGAAATTACTAGATAGTTAATAACAGAAATATAGTACATTTTGTACAAACTAACCTTTCTAGCGTAACTTTCCGTTGTTTTCTTCTTCCGCTTCTTTTTTCATTAACATTAGTTGACTCATATTGTAAATCATATAACTCTGATGCTTGTGATGTTAACAATAAAATCAAAGTCATCTGTTGAATCATTTCATTCGATATTGTTAATGGTGCTGGAAAGTGATTATTTATTAAGTGTTGAATATGATTCGTTAGTACTCTGGGTAATTGAGGATTAGTTTCAGGCCATGTTATCACCTTTACTATTGGCCTATATGTTCGAGAAAGAGAGAGAGAGAGAGAGAGAAAGTGAATTTATTGATGAAATATATGTATATATAGTTGAAAGGTGTCCTGGAAAATCTTTCCCATGTCTGCTTCCGATTACCGGTGCAGTGTGTTCTTTGATCTTCTTCATTTCTGTTTTCATTCAAGATTCCAAGTTAGCGCTTGATTCGTGATGTAGTTTAATGATATCCATAATGTATATTCTATTCATTTCCAATGTCTTTTTTCTCATTTCCTCTTCAGATGAAAGTTGGTTCGTCATCACCCACAGAACGGTGTTACGGATAGTTAAATTATAGATAACTTTATCATAGTATTACATCAATAGTGGGATCAACCATCCAGCTCAAAGAACAAAACTTCATCAAAATCATCAAGTTGAGCTACAAACCTTCCCCATCATCTCAATATTATACATATATATTACACGAATGATTAAGTGTATATGCCTTGCCCTAAATATTATCAAAGAGAATAATTATTAAGCAAAAATGGATAGTGGCTAGCATTGCAATCCAGTTTGACGCGCGTCTCGTCCTATTTAGGACTCATCAGCTGGATATATCTGTATCTCAAAGTTAATGTTCACTCTTGAACTCGAACCCAGTACCGTTCGCTTCAAACACCATCATGTTACCCACTTAGCGACTGAGTACATTCATGTCCCTCTTATTATAAGCTCTCATTTGACCTATAGACTATTATGATACGATTTCACATTCTTGAGTTATACCCAGTCTATTCATTACAGTCTATCACATTCATAACCAGTTTTGACTTGATCCCGTAAAAATGTTATTATCTATTTTCTGGTACGATGTGGTCTGTCTGGTTGGTATATAGACTCAGTAGGTTTGAAATAAATGATTTATAACTCATAGGCTGAGATTGGTGTTCTGGACTTAACAGGTAGGATTAGACAGAAAGACAACTCTCGACTACTCGTATGGATTTATGCGTCATTGATCCTGTTGATAAGTCACTGTTTTCTAATTGGCGGTATCATTACGTTATACATTGATAAGGGGCATGAATTCACAAGTTATAACAATTAATCATGTTCTAAACAGTTCATTTGTGATGTCAAAGACTGTGACACCGTATGATTCGAATAAGAATTCTCAAGGGACTATCAGTTCCTTCATAAAATCATGATAGATCTTCTTGGAAGCTAACGACTAACATAACATCTTCGTTCAAAGTATTATGTTTACTGTTTCCAACCAATTAATATACTTTACTAGTATAGGGCTTGTGGAGATTATTAAGTTTTTGATTGAGATCATGAACCGATTAATGTTAGACCACCTTTGGAAACCTGGGAGCACTAGACGGCCGTTTCGTCCATGTCGGGTAGAAACAGATATCTACCTCAGTACAATGGAAAATGCTCGCGCCATTCCGTGGATTGGTTGATGTTAGACACTATCACCATTAGATGCCAGCTCAGTGGTTCAGTAGGTTAGGCGTTCGCGTGTGAGGCCGGAGGCTCTTGGTCTGAATCCCGTGGGCGGGATCATGGATGCGCACTGCTGAGGAGTCCCACAATAGGACGAAACGGCCGTCCAATGCTTCCAGGTTTCGAAAGGTGGTCTAACATCAATCGGTTCATGATCTCAATCAAAAACTTAATATACTTTAATCGAATTTCAACTAAAGAATATTTGACAGGTTAGTAGATTGTTTTCAAGGAATAGTATGATGAAAAAATATTTTGATCTTAGCAGATATTCATCTTTTAGTTTTCGATTTTCGCATAACACTACTTATATATAATCAGTAGTTTATGCATATGTAAGCATTTAAATGACATTTCTTTGTAATAGAACAGTTTATATTATCCAACAATACTCATATTTTAAAGTTATATTTACCCTCTACCAACTCCGCCTGGAGTCCCTCCGGGGGCTACTGTCGGTCATAAGCCCGGATAAAGGAGGAGGGTTGGGCATGGGGTTAGCGTCCCCATCCTGTAGAAAACTAACTCGCAAAAAAACGCTAACCAGAAAAAATTATTCAAACCTTTTAAACTCTACCCCGGGAGTCAGAAGGTCTTCATTTAGAAGAATTATGACACCTCATGATGAAAGCCGAATTCCTTCGGAAGTTACGAGGCCGATGCCTCTTCTGACAACCAGAGTGACCATTTATTTAGGTACATGGAATGTTCGTACAATGTGGGAGACCGGGACAGCCTTCCAAATTGCTGCAGAAATGAGAAGATACAACTTAGAGGTACTTGGGATCAGTGAAACACATTGGATACAAGTTGGACAACAACGACTAACTACAGGAGAACTCCTGTTATACTCCAGCCATGAAGAAGAAAATGCACCACATACACAAGGAGTTGCATTGATGCTGTCAAAACAAGCACAAAATGTGCTTACAGGATGCGAATCTCATGGACCAAGGATCATCAAAACCTCCTTCAAAACAAAGAAAGAGGGCATTTCAATGAACATCATCCAATGCTATGCGCCTACCAACGACTACGATGAAGACGCTAAAGATCAATTCTACAATAGGGTGCAGTCAATCGTCGAGAAGTGCACAACAAAAGACCTGACCATTCTGATGGGAGATTTCAACGCCAAGGTTGGAACGGACAACACTGGATATGAAGACATCATGGGACAACACGGACTAGGAGAAAGGAACGAAAATGGTGAGAGATTTGCAAATCTATGTGCCTTCGATGAACTGTTCATAGGCGGCACCATATTCCCACATAAACCCATACACAAAACCACATGGACTTCACCGGATCACACCACGCAAAACCAAATCGACCATATTTGCATCAACAAAACGTTCAGGAGGACTATAGAGGACATGAGAACCAAGAGAGGAGCTGATATAGCATCAGATCATCACTTGCTGGTCGCCAAGATGAAATTGAAATTCAAGAAGCACTGGACAACAGGACGGACAATATCACAAACGTTTAATACAGCTTTTCTTCAGGATACTGACAAACTCAACAAATTCAAGATAGTCCTCCGCAATAAGTTCCAGGCCTTTCATGATCTACTCAATGGAGAAGAAACTACTATGGAGAGTAACTGGAAGAGGATCAAAGAGGCAATCACTTCAACATGTCATGAGGTCCTGGGTCACAAGAAGCACCATCACAAGGAATGGATCACTGTTGATACACTGGATAAGATTCAAGAAAGAAGGAACAAGAAGGCAGCGATCAATACCAGTCGAACAAGAGCAGAGAAAGCCAAGGCATAAGCTGAATACACAGAATTAAACAAACAACTGAAGAAGAGCATCAGAACTGACAAACGTAAATATGTGGAAGATTTAGCAACGACGGCGGTAAAGGCTGCAAGAGAAGGAAACATGAGACAATTGTATGACACGACAAAGAAACTCTCTGGAAATCGCCGCTAACCAGAACGACCAGTGAAAAGCAAGGAAGGCGAGGTAATCACCAACATTGACGAACAACAAAACAGGTGGGTAGAACACTTCAAAGAACTCTTGAATCGACCAGCTACACTAAAGCCACCCAACATCGAAGCAGCACCCACGGACCTCCCAATCAATGTTGGCCCACCAACAATTGAAGAAATCAGCATGGCCATCAGACAAATCAAGAGTGGCAAAGCAGCAGGACCGGACAACATCCCAGCAGAGGCACTAAAAGCAGACGTAGCGGCAACTGCAAGGATGCTCCACATTCTCTTCAATAAGATTTGGGATGAGGAACAAGTACCAACAGACTGGAAAGAAGGACTCCTGATCAAAATACCGAAGAAAAACGATCTCAGCAAGTGTGATAACTACAGGGGCGTCACTCTTCTCTTAATACCGGGAAAAGTCTTCAACAGGGTATTGTTAAACAGGATGAAGGACTGCGTAGACGTCCAACTTCGTGAACAACAGGCAGGATTCCGTAAGGATAGATCGTGTACAGACCGAATCGCAACTCTACGGATCATTGTGGAATAATCAATTGAATGGAATTCATCACTCTACATCAACTTCATTGACTACGAAAAAGCATTTGACAGCGCGGACAAAACAACACTATGGAAACTTCTTCGACACTACGGCGTGCCTCAGAAGATAGTCAATATCATACAGAGTTCATATGATGGATTACACCGCAAAATCGTGCATGGAGAACAGTTGACAAAGTCGTTCGAAGTGAAGACCGGTGTTAGACAAGGTTGCTTACTCTCACCCTTTCTCTTTCTCCTGGTGATCGACTGCATCATGAAGACGTCAACGTCTGAAGGGAAGCGCGGGATACAATGGACATCTAAGATGAAGTTGGATGATCAAGACTTCGCAGACGATCTGGCCCTTCTATCCCAAACGCAACAACAGATGCAGGAGAAGACAAACAGTGCAGCAGTAGCCTCAGCAGCAATAGGTCTCAATATACACAAAGGGAAAAGCAGGATTCTCCGATACGACACAGCTTGCACCAATCCAATCACAATTGACGGAGAGGATTTGGAAGATGTATAAACCTTTACGTATTTGGGCAGCATCATTGATGAACAGGGTGGATCTGATGCAGATGTGAAGGCACGGATCGGCAAAGCAAGAGCAGCATATTTACAACTGAAAAACATCTGGAGCTCAAAGCAACTGTCAACCAACACCAAGGTCAGGATTTTCAATACAAATGTCAAGACAGTTCTACTGTATGGGGCAGAAACCTGGAGAACTACAAAAGCCATCATCCAGAAAATACAGGTGTTTATTAACAATTGTCTACGCAAAATACTTCAGATCCATGAGAAGAATGAACAATAATTGGATGGAACTAGGAAGGAGGGCCCAGGACAGAGTGGGTTGGAGAATGCTGGTCAGCGGCCTATGCTCCATTGGGAGTAACAAGCGTAAGTAAGTAAGTTACCCTCTACCTGACCAAATCATTAACGGAATCATCAGAGAAGACTAAGGTATTGAAGATTTCATTACCGTTATCAAATGACTTCTTGTGATGGTAGAAAAGATTTGTACTTCAGTTGGATGATTTTGATGGAATTTTCTTCCCTGAGCTGAATGGTTTAATCGTTCTTCTGAACGACATCGTCATCAAAAACTTCAGGTATAAGTTAAGTGTTCGGATTTCTCCATATGTGGTTCACAGCTTGTCCTGTACACCTCGATGTTGATTGGTTCTTGTTGACCTCTAAACCTATCATTGTTTCCTTCTTTGTTTTAGTTATATCTCCCATTGGTTTGAATTTTTGTTCCTAAGTTTGAGTATAATTTTCCTGATTGGTTGATCGATTTCAATGTGCTTGTTTATTGTTAATTGAGCTGAGTGTCAAGCTTCTAAAAATCTTCCGGTATTTTTGGAATAACCTCATCCAAAATTTCCACATATTTCCAGTCGAATGTGTGTCCGCAGTTGTCCACATGCGGACAACCTTCAAATCTAATTCCTAACCCCTAACCATCAACTGTAAATCATAACTCTAATTCCTCACACAAGTGTATAACCCTTATTTGGTTTTAGTTATTAGATGGACACTCTCAAAGTCAGTCTAACGTTGCTCAAAAGTCGTCCATCAATGATAGTCGCATCAATCCACCTACTTTAAATGCGACTCAAAAAAATCACTTATTTCTGAGTGACTACTGATTTTAAAATAGTACTATAATATTTTGAATAAAATAAATTACAGAACGAACATTCTAAAATTCATACTTACCACGTCATTGTTGTTAAATGTTCCGAACTCTCAATTTGTACAGGTTGAGAACTATTCAGAAGACTTTTCCAATATGGACTTAGTACAGTGATACATGATTCAATAGTCTCTTTAACACTAAATAGAAAAATAAGGGGTGTAAATAAACGAAATATCATATTATACAACACTGTTGATAGTTGATGGTTCTAGGGACTAAATTTAACCGATATGGAGTAATCTAAGTTTATGTCTTCCTTCAGAAGCATAAGATGGGCTTTCAGGTCTTATAGATTGAATCTTAAACATTGTCATGTTTGATCTTGATTGTAGTCGTAGCCGAACTGTATCGATCAAATTACATCTCGGTAACTAGTTTATATAATTTGATATCGGTAACATAATATTAGAAGGAGTTAGTAATGGACGCTGAACGCGGATTTTATTTAGGCTGACACCTATCAACAATCAAGTCTACAATCTTGAGACAATTGATGCTCCAAGAGGCCTGGGGTCTGTAGTATTGACTGTTACATTGAAGGAAGTGTCTACCACGCTTCTTGGGCTCCGTCTAACCATTTATAAAATTAGACAAATGAGAATTACTAAGAATACTGACACTCAGTAGTGAATGTATATTGTAGGTTATTTACAATTCCAACAGACAAAAATTACATGAAATGATGAAACATCATCTTCTACATTGGAACACACTAAAACATTTTCAACCATGATGGGTATTGAATCAGAATTGATAATTTATATGAAATACAATCAAATAGTTGAATTCATGAGTCAATTGAAGCTAGGTCACCACAGAAACCTGGGAGCATTGGAAAACCGTTCCATCCTAGTATGGGACACCACAGCACTGTGCATCCACAATCCCGCCCGAGGGAGTCGAACTCAGGACCTATATGTCTCGCGCGCGAACACTTAACCTCTAGACCACAGAGATTGCCAGCACCCAACGGTTTTAATGTCTAACTTCAACCAATTCACGAAATTGCACCACCGTTCACCATTTCCTTCAATGAGTTACTACCTCACAACAGACTCGATCGAACTCCACTGGTCAAAAGTCTTCTCTGTAAACTTTAACAAATCCAAGAGTAATAGTCTTCTGATTATTTGAAAATGAATGGATTTCATTAAGAAAAAATGTCTTAGCTACCAGGTTCTTTCAAGACAATAAGAAATTTGAATTGTTCCATATTCAAATATGTACAATTATGATTTAAGTTCCGAATAATTTACACAAGATTAGAATATACTACTAATATGTTATGAGTAGTAACTTCATCAATGGAAAGATTTAAGTATCTGCCACTTTCAGAAGTTGCTATCAGCAGTCAATAGCTAAATGGATAACGCGATGGCATTTCAAGTGAATGGTACTAGGTTCATGTCCTAGAGTGATCATCAAATCTAAGATGCAGGTACATCCAGCTGATGAGTCCCAACTAGGACGAAACATAGTTGTTGGATTTCCATTCTTAATTCTGTTGTATAGAATATATTCAAATAAGGTTTAAAAATCAGGTGAATACTTAAATAATCAATTAGATTCTCTTATACATTTCAGTAAATTTTAACAATCAATCAATTTGTTATCATTGTAAACATTAAGAATAAATCATTGTAACCTTGAACATGGTGGTTGAATTAATCGTATAGGTGATAATGGATCACCAAGTAATGCTTTTAAAACATGAACAATTCCTTCAGCCAAACTATCTACGAAATAACCACCCTATAAGTAAATAAAAAATAGTAAAGATATCAATGTTTTAATTCATCATGATAAAATTATTAGTGAACAAGCATGTTTGATATTCGTGTAATGAAAGTGATCATTTTTATCCCTTAGAGTTATAGTGGGACCCTTCATATTGACGTTAACTAGATCGGACAATGTTATCGACGTACTCACCACTTTAGTGAGACCTTTCATTTTGACGTCAACTAGATCGGACAATGTTATCGACGTACTCATCACTGTAGTGGGACCTTTCATTTTGACGTCAACTAGATCGGACAATGTTATCGACGTACTCATCACTGTAGTGGGACCTTTCATTTTGACGTCAACTAGATCGGACAATGTTATCGACGTACTCATCACTGTAGTGGGACCTTTCATTTTGACGTCAACTAGATCGGACAATGTTATCGACGTACTCATCACTGTAGTGGGACCTTTCATTTTGACGTCAACTAGATCGGACAATGTTATCGACGTACTCATCACTGTAGTGGGACCTTTCATTTTGACGTCAACTAGATCGGACAATGTTATCGACGTACTCATCACTGTAGTGGGACCTTTCATTTTGACGTCAACTAGATCGGACAATGTTATCGACGTACTCATCACTGTAGTGGGACCCTTTATTTTCTTGTCAATTAGATTGAATGATGTTATCGACGTACTTTACTGAGTTAAATCTGTGATAGAGCTCACCACTTTTAGTAGCCCTATATTTGACCCCATTGCGATCGTTTCTGATTACTATTGAGATATACATGTAGCAAATCATCGTATAAAGTTATCGACTTAACTCGAGTTAATGAATAACGGAATTAAAACATGTCAAATATGAGAAAGTAGTTCGAATACTCGTATATTTTGTACAATCGTTGATCTAGGCAGACGATCGAATGAACGAAGTGAAACAAAATGATGCGCGATACAGAAGGCATGTGAGCCAACTCCATTTAACCAAGAGTTAATCGATATTTATAGTCACACAAAAATAAGGTACAAACATATGATGAATAGGATAAGGATTGTGCACACACCTATGCGCTCATATAAAAAAAGTCAAGGTTGATAATTGAACAGATAACAAAGTCAAAATGTGACTCAAGTAGAATGAATAAATTGGGGCTGAATATAGTAACAGGCACTAAAGAGTCATTAATTGTTAGTCTAAGCTATATAGAGGAATGTAAGTTTCAAACCTACAATAAGAGAGATAATATCATAGTCTACATTTGAAATTAACTCCGCCTGGAGTCCCTCCGAGGGCTACTGCTGGTCCCAACCCCGGATAAAGGAGGAGGGTTAGGCATGAGTTTAGCGACTCCATCCCGTAGAAAACTAACTCACTAAAAAACGCTAACCAGAACCAGAGAAAAAGCATTTGAAATCGATATAATTTGAAGGTATCCCACTTATTCCTTACAAATTTTCTATATCTTTCTAACTTCATCATATTGTGGTGATATACAAAATTGAATTCAAATGACGGTGCATATTGGTATGTCAAGAATTACGTCATAGAAATTAATGTATACTATTTAATCTACTTAAAATTTATTAAGTAGCTAAAATAATTGACATAAATTATTAAACAATCAAATGAACAACCGAATACAATAAAATAACTTTTATAAATAATTAGTCCGTCATTTAATCATTTCTGAAAGAATTGGCTGATATTTATGTTCGCTTATGATAAATCTTCTCCTCCCCTCCAAAAAAAGTCAAAAAATAGCGTCTAAGTATTTGAAATGAAGTCAAACTATATTCCTAATAAACAAACAACCATATTCCTCCACAAACTCATACACAAAGCTACATGAGTTTCATTGGATCATATTACATAATACCAAGCCGGTAATATCTACATCAATCAAAGGATCAGAACGTCCCTGGAAGATGTATAAACAAAGAGAGATGCAGACTTAGTTTAAGGTCACTACCAGGTTGTGGCCATGATGAAACTGAAGCTCAAGAAGCACTGGACAACTGGAGAAACGACATTATATGAGTTTAATACAGTATACCTTTGACATACTGACAAACTCAACGAATTCAAGATAGTTCTCAGCAACAGGTTCCAATCCTTACACAGCCAATTCAAAGGAGAGGAAAGTACTATGAAGAGCAACTGGAAAGGGATTGAAGAGGCAACAATTTCAAAATACAATTAGGTGCTGGGCCGAAAAAGCCCCATTATAAAGAATAGATCTCTGTCAATACGCTGGGCAAGATTCAGTAAAGGAGAGGAAGAAGAAAGCAATCAACAATAGAAGAACAGGAGCAGCGAAACCTGAAGCGTAGGACGAACACATATAGGTAAACAAACGAGTGGAAATTAGCATTTGAGTTGATAACTATAGGTACGTGGGCAGAAGTATTTGAAGGACTCTTAAATAAACCAATCCCACTAAACAAACCTTACATCGAAGCAGCACACACAGGCTTGTCTATAGATGCTACCTTACCAATAATTGAAGAAATCAACATGGTCATCAAACAGATCAAGGGTGGGAAAGCGATAGGACCAGACAACATACCAGCTGAAGCACTAAAGTTAGACACAGAAGCACCTATAGACATGCTTCACATCCCATTCAGGAAGATTTGGGAGAGGGGATAAATGCCGACAGACTGGAAAGTAGGATACCTCGTCAAGACACCGAAGAAAGAAATTTCAGTAAGTGTGCGATTTATACAGACAACATACTACTGCCAATACCAGGAAACGTTCTTTATAGCGTAATTGAATTGACCGAAAGATTCATTAGATGCCCAACTTGGGGATCAACAGATCAACTACTTGGTCAGAAGAAGACAACTGCATATCGTTTATGTGTTAAACGCAAATTGACTGATTTTATTAGATTATGATTGAAACATTCGTTAGTAGAAGTTAAAGTGTTTCAAGAAATTAATATATTTCTTGATGGAAAGTAGTCATCAACAATGGTGTCTTAGCGATTAGGTTTGAGTCCTACATGTAACTACTTCGATTTCGACAATCAGAAGGGGGGTATCACTTATTCTCTTATATATACACACAAGGGCTTAGAAACATATATACATTTAAAACACACTTAAAAAATCAGTGCTTTGTAACAATATTCAATACTGTTGTAGTGGACGAGAACACAAGTGGGGAACAACTGAATGTATTCGAGCACAAAATTACAGGTCTTAGTAAAATCTGAGAACTATACAGTAAATACTTTATTTGCAATATGTCAATCAATCGTCTCAGACATCATTATTCTTTCATCTCCACATCAATCATTCTTTATTCTCGTTCTCTTCTCTTTGATCTTGTTAATCTTCTCTACCATTAGGTATTTCACTATCGATTCATGATACATACTACTTATATCTGTCGATATCAGTAGTACACATCATAATATGTTCAAAGAAATCATCATCGGAGCCAATATCAATCAGTAATTAATTTACTTATAAAATAATCAACTTAATTAATAAATAACTAAATTGATATTGGAATATTTACTACTGATGAAAGAAATAAGTATTCATGAATGTCAGTAGTGACACGAGAGAATCTAGTCAAACACTGAAATGGTGGAGAAGATTTATAGCTCCGATAGATGATTTCGATGCAGTTCAAAGAACCAAACGTCATTAACATAGCCAAGTCATTGTGTGTTCACTTGTTATTTTGAAAAAAAGAAGAAGAAAATATATCAATAACGTACTTCAAGAACGACAACAACTTTGCCTCCAGCTAAAGATTTTAATTTGTGTACAAAATGACTAAATACCATTGGAGTTAACCACATTCTACCCTGTAATTAAATAAAGAAAAGACGAAAAAGAACGGTTTATAATAACTATGATTATTTTTTAAGCCAAGATGGATAGTGGTAGACCCAGGACGCGTGTTTCGTCCTATTTAGGACTCATCAGCTGGATATAACGCTGGACTTAAGGCTATATCGAGACAGGTCGTAGAGAATGCACATATGCCAACATGATACTAATCAATTGCAGTCGTAAACAACAATGAGAACATTCAAGTAAATAAAAATACCAAGTGAATTTAAACTTCACTCCATTGCACAAGCAGTTGTCTATGAGGACTCAGTCGCTAACACATGGATAATATGATGGCGTTTGAATCGAAAGGTACTGAGTTCGAGTCCCAGAGTGGACATCAACTCCGAAATGCAGGTACGTTCAGCCGACGAGTCCTGAATAGGACGAACTTCAAGTAGAAGTCTACCTGAATTTTGTGCTGATGATGTCGTTCAGAAGAACGATGAATGCTCCACGACCAAACCATCCAGCTTAGAGGATAGAACTTCATTAAGATTATCCAAGTGAGCTACAAATCTCTATAATGATACCAAAACCCAAGACTTAGGAGTTTTTAAATCTTTCAAATCATGACTTGGTAGCTTGTTGAAACGATACCACCGTCTATTCAAACATTTTGGGTCGCCTGTTTTTTGAACTGTGCAAATATTTCGATAAACTTCTCTATTATACATTTACTTGAAAAGAAATAATTATAAAACCATTGTAGTGAACGACAACTCAAGTGAGTAAAGCCAAATGCAAAATGTCAATCAGTCGCTTCAGACTTCATTTTACTTTTGTATCCACATCATTCATTCTCCATTCTCGTTCTATTTTCTTTGATCATCTTAATCTTCTCCAATCAAGCATTTCACTTTCAATTGATGATGTATGCTACTTAGATCTGCCGATATCAGTAACATACATCACAGAACCATTATAAACAGTTAACAAATTATTGTGATGTTAAATATTAGTAAAGTCAAACAAAATATCATAGTACTTAATTTGACTTCTATCTTATTTATTCTTTGAAAAACTAAAGAATGAATCAATTAGAATTCCAATAGATAGTAGTACCACTGAATTTAATCGGAAACATTCAACATTGAAAAGGAATGTGAGCTATTGGCTACTACAAATTACCACTTTCCAGTGCTTCAGGGAATTCGAAGATCGTCTAATTAAGAACAATGTAGCATTTCAAAAATATCAACTTAAACAATCATCAAAAATACTTAAAGAAATAGCATTTCGATGGGTTAGACTATTGAGGAATTCAGTGAATGATCAAATGATAGTACTTTCAAAGAATGAAGCATACAATACTTGTTAAAGTCACTTTTACATTCACTATCGCGAATTCACTTCATTTCGACTCTTTTGTGTATTGTTTTATACTACTTATTAACATTCAGTAAAGTATTGTAGTCCTAGCAACACAAGTTTGTCGTGTAATATTCAGAAATATTTTGGGGAAATTTCGGGTTATCCCGATATATTTCCCGTACTCTGTGGGAAAAAAAACACGGATTTTTATATGACTGGATGAAAATCCCGAAATTACCATAGAATTCCTCAAAATTTCCCCAAAACTGGAGGCTTGGCAACCCAAAAACTCCTAGACCCATCATCTCAACACTAAAACCCTTTTGACACCAGCCAGCTATTAACCCTGAAAATTCCTAACTTAACTCATAACCACAAAACTACTTAGTTGTAGATACTAGCCATAAAACTCCTAAAACCTAACTCCTCACTCTGATTATCCTAACGTTAACACTCCAACCAGTAACATATTCATCTTCATAGTTCTATTCCATAGGAAAACCGTCATCTTTCAATGATTGCAATTCCATCGAAATATATGGAATATCATGAAGATCATAAGTTTCAGCAACAAGCTGTCCGTAAAAACATTTCAAATTAGCGCATCTGTTAGCTTGATTTGGACTGATAGGTCAAGGCCATCGGTTTTGTGTACCATTTTACCTATTCAGTATGCTTTACATTCACTATCGCGAATTCACTTCATTTCGACTCTTTTGTGTATTGTTTTATACTACTTATTAACATTCAGTAAAGTATTGTAGTCCTAGCAACACAAGTTTGTCGTGTAATATTCAGAAATATTTTGGGGAAATTTCGGGTTATCCCGATATATTTCCCGTACTCTGTGGGAAAAAAAACACGGATTTTTATATGACTGGATGAAAATCCCGAAATTACCATAGAATTCCTCAAAATTTCCCCAAAACTGGAGGCTTGGCAACCCAAAAACTCCTAGACCCATCATCTCAACACTAAAACCCTTTTGACACCAGCCAGCTATTAACCCTGAAAATTCCTAACTTAACTCATAACCACAAAACTACTTAGTTGTAGATACTAGCCATAAAACTCCTAAAACCTAACTCCTCACTCTGATTATCCTAACGTTAACACTCCAACCAGTAACATATTCATCTTCATAGTTCTATTCCATAGGAAAACCGTCATCTTTCAATGATTGCAATTCCATCGAAATATATGGAATATCATGAAGATCATAAGTTTCAGCAACAAGCTGTCCGTAAAAACATTTCAAATTAGCGCATCTGTTAGCTTGATTTGGACTGATAGGTCAAGGCCATCGGTTTTGTGTACCATTTTACCTATTCAGTATGCTTTACATTCACTATCGCGAATTCACTTCATTTCGACTCTTTTGTGTATTGTTTTATACTACTTATTAACATTCAGTAAAGTATTGTAGTCCTAGCAACACAAGTTTGTCGTGTAATATTCAGAAATATTTTGGGGAAATTTCGGGTTATCCCGATATATTTCCCGTACTCTGTGGGAAAAAAAACACGGATTTTTATATGACTGGATGAAAATCCCGAAATTACCATAGAATTCCTCAAAATTTCCCCAAAACTGGAGGCTTGGCAACCCAAAAACTCCTAGACCCATCATCTCAACACTAAAACCCTTTTGACACCAGCCAGCTATTAACCCTGAAAATTCCTAACTTAACTCATAACCACAAAACTACTTAGTTGTAGATACTAGCCATAAAACTCCTAAAACCTAACTCCTCACTCTGATTATCCTAACGTTAACACTCCAACCAGTAACATATTCATCTTCATAGTTCTATTCCATAGGAAAACCGTCATCTTTCAATGATTGCAATTCCATCGAAATATATGGAATATCATGAAGATCATAAGTTTCAGCAACAAGCTGTCCGTAAAAACATTTCAAATTAGCGCATCTGTTAGCTTGATTTGGACTGATAGGTCAAGGCCATCGGTTTTGTGTACCATTTTACCTATTCAGTATGCTTTACATTCACTATCGCGAATTCACTTCATTTCGACTCTTTTGTGTATTGTTTTATACTACTTATTAACATTCAGTAAAGTATTGTAGTCCTAGCAACACAAGTTTGTCGTGTAATATTCAGAAATATTTTGGGGAAATTTCGGGTTATCCCGATATATTTCCCGTACTCTGTGGGAAAAAAAACACGGATTTTTATATGACTGGATGAAAATCCCGAAATTACCATAGAATTCCTCAAAATTTCCCCAAAACTGGAGGCTTGGCAACCCAAAAACTCCTAGACCCATCATCTCAACACTAAAACCCTTTTGACACCAGCCAGCTATTAACCCTGAAAATTCCTAACTTAACTCATAACCACAAAACTACTTAGTTGTAGATACTAGCCATAAAACTCCTAAAACCTAACTCCTCACTCTGATTATCCTAACGTTAACACTCCAACCAGTAACATATTCATCTTCATAGTTCTATTCCATAGGAAAACCGTCATCTTTCAATGATTGCAATTCCATCGAAATATATGGAATATCATGAAGATCATAAGTTTCAGCAACAAGCTGTCCGTAAAAACATTTCAAATTAGCGCATCTGTTAGCTTGATTTGGACTGATAGGTCAAGGCCATCGGTTTTGTGTACCATTTTACCTATTCAGTATGCTTTACATTCACTATCCTAAAATCACTTCATTTCAACTCTTTTGTGTATTGTTTTATACTACTTATTAACATTCAGTAAACTGTTGTATTCTTAGCAATTTTCTACATTGATGTTCTAATGTAAGTTGGTCGTGTAATATTTTTTCTCAAATATTTACATATACTTATAATAACACTGTATTATATTATTTATCATTATAATTACCTGACCTCAATCCCTGTAACACTTATCTACAGTTTTGTGTATTTGTTTAATTTAAACGCAACAGTTTTCTACAATTAATTGCTGTTGTTTAGGATTTTGCTAGTTAGTAAACTGTTGCCAAGTTTAGACACACACAACTATCAGCTGTGTAGTTGTACTATCGAAGCCCTTTTCATCATTTCATACGAATGGACGCGTTAAACATCGTAGACAGCTCACAAGATGACGAAGGCTATTTTAGAGACAAATCGTTGTGATTTGTGAACAACTTCGATTTTGCGCATATCTCAATTAAGTGACTTGGACGCTTCCATACATCTAATACTACTGAATAACGTAAAAAGCAAAAAGCTTCACATGAAGTATAAATGTATGAAGTGGTTTAATGTTACTGCTGAGTAGATGGAATATGAATAGCAGTGGAATGCAGGACATGTGTTTCGTGCCATTTGTGACTGATTCATCAACTGATGAATGTAATAATTACATCGTCAAGTTGATATTTACTCACTTATGCAATGGTGATGAGTTTGATTGGTTTTATCTAGACAATCTGTACAGGAATGAACATATACGTATGATGAAATGAAGGCTGATCAAACGAAATTCAGTCACGTAGGGAGAATAATAATGGTCCAGGTGGGAATTGAATACACGACCATTTAGCACTAGAAGTGGGTATCGCATCCCTACACCACTGAACCATCTACGTGTAATTGTCACACACACACACACACCACTCACTATATATATACACCACTAAATCATTCCAAATACCATTACCTCAATCACTAATTTGCCGCAATTCACACAACTCTTACTAATAACAATTACTCAAATGAAAATATCTCAAAAACGTCCACCTGCAACCCCTCTGAGGCCACTGCCAGTCCTATGCCCGGATAAAGGAGGAGGGTTGGGTATGGGGTTACCGATCCCACTAAAAAAACGCTAACCAGAAAAGTTTTTCAAAATATTAAACGCGTCAACCATGCAACTGTCGCTTCAATCAATCATATGACTACGCTTGTTTTGTTATTGCTGCTGCTGATGTAAACTACACTTGCAACTGTCAGAATTGTACATAGGAGCGTGTAATGAGTAATTATCGGTAACATACGTTCAAACTACATCGGTAAACACACACGGCTTGTAGTCTCATTGATCCAATAACCATTTCTACACAAACTCCTCAATCTAATTTCAGTATCACTCACTCTATCTGTACTCACGCCATATCCAATCATTTTTAATGGCGACACCTGTGATTATATGTATATTTTTAATCTTTGCATGGCATTTACTATCATAGGGCAAGCCTTTAAGTTTTAGCTGGGTGGTAAAATCTTTAACAGCTTGATGGTTGTTTCGACTGTGTCTCTGTCGCACAAATTAGTCTAAGCTATGTATATCGGCGAAGACATTTCCACAGCCAACAACCAACTTAGATTAGTAGGACATACAAAAGTCGGTTACCGTAAACGGAACAGTTGTTAGGATTGAAAAGTGGGATTTAGTGAGGAAGTGTAAGGTCCTAATATGTACGTTGCTGACACGAAAATTACTCATAATATTTCGTGTGTGACCAACCTCAAGCACTTATTATTTGGGCACTGCCCTAACGCTCTCATGTCACTTAGTCTAACTTTAACCCAATTTCCTTCGCAGGTACCTTCACGGTGTGGGCAACCTGGTAGTGATAAATGTCCTCATACCTCTAACAGCACTCAAGATCACTGTACTTATCATCAATCTGCGTCTTCAATTCTTATTATTACTCCTACGTCGACTTTCAGCTCTAAACTTCCTATTTCGACTTTCGCCTCAAGTGTCACCATGGCCAACGATTCTAGTACACGAAACACTGTTCGAGGTCTACTGAAACCTCGCTCCTTCGATTTACGCACCCTATGTCAAGTCGGCCAGCAGACCTCCTTAGCTAAAACCTCAGAATTTCATACGTTTGATGTATGCTGTTTCTCCGTTACATGCAAACAGAATCCTAGTGTGGTCATTCACCTGACCTTACCTCGTCAAAATGCAGAGCCGATGAGATAAACCCTCCGTTTGTAATTTAGTTAACCTTAGATAGAATTCAGTTTTCACGTATAATATTCTCCATAATTATTTTTTTACAGTGAATTTTGTTTAGGCTCGGATTTCTCAGATGGATGAGCGAATGTCGTTGCTTGGATTGGGTTAAAACTAATTAAAATTGATCCTGATGGGTATGCTTTTATTCCAGGAACTGAGCACTTATACACCAATGATATTTTTACACTATGATGAATATCAACTAAAGTTAGAAATAAGAATCATTGGATTTTAACTTAATGATCTTAATGTAAACCGTAAGATCTGGATGTCTTATTTTGGAATCTGAGTGAACACTATTTTTATTTTAACGCATGGTAAGCGTTTTTTTAGCGAGTTAGTTTTCTACGGGATGGGGACGCTAACCCCATGCCCAACCCTCCCCCTTTACCCGGGCTTGGGACCGGCAGTAACTCTAGAAGAGCTACAGGCGGAGTTTTTAACACATAGTAGAAACAAACATTTTAGCATTGTAACTCAATGTGTTATTCATTAATTTAGCACTTACCTCTGGACAACCAATAGCTGCGTCGAACCCACAAGAAATCAGTATCAGCTGAGGATTAAACTGTAATTTTTAAAGTTAGAAAAAAAAAGAAAATTACTCTATTTTTCATTAGACATACAAGAATCTAATCAACTGTGAGAAAATATTGACTGTCATTTATTTACAATTGATTGATCACTGGGTAGTGATCAATGTCATGTGTGTTAGGTTCGTCTTAGTGCAGATCGAATTATATCGACCAAGCTGCAATGTGGTCACTAGTCTAGGTCACTCGACATTATGTGCACGCACTGTGAAGCTGAGTGATACGAGATCGAATCCCTCAGGGAGCTTCAGTTCCTTTAAGATACACCTTTCTGACAAATGTCAGGTTCAGGGTTTCCTGTTAACTACCTCCAACCACCATCCTAACTCTCATTTATTTTTTTCATACAACTTGAGCTACTTATTATATTCAAAGTAGCATCAGTGTTTATGATAAATATTTCACGGGGATAATGCTGTAAAAGTAAACCAAGCAACTATTTTGAAATCAGGCACACATAAATTATCTGTAATTCAGTTCATCTTTCGGATGATCGTAAGAGGTTTGAAATATTTTTGTATTTTTTGAAGCCAGTGTCATAAAAAATCAGTCATGTTCAATCGAAAAAATTGGAAACTATGCTTGGTGAAAGAACGTGAATTCAATCCAACATTTCGCCTGTCAATCTGATCCAAGCTTTATCAAAGAAATAACTTTTCCTTGAAATTAGTTTGGACTAGATTGTCAGGCGAAATGTTGGATTTACTTCAAATTCATTCGGTGAGATTTTCACAAGTACAACATTCTTCTTCTTTAAGGTTTCATATCAACTCAGCGCTCAAATACTGGGAAACTATTTGATCAGATTTAAACGAAAGTTTTTAATTATTATGCTAGGTGGTTGGAGAAAATTGATAGAAAAGTCTTGATCTACATTTCAGTTTGTTTTACAGTTTCTAGTAAGAAGTAATTATAAAGTTATTCCCTTAGTGGGTTTCTTGTCTTGTCACAAAGTTGTGATGGTAAAACGAAGATATTTACGGCTATAACAAACCATGTATAAGTCTGAGACATCAACATTAATTAGCTCTGTTTGTTTAGTTTTTAATGCTTATAGAATTATGCCTTCAAAATGGAATGTTATCAGTAGTATAAGTGGTTTTACATTGCATGAACTATGCTTTACATTATCTGGTTGGAGATAGTCTGTTAATATGGGCCAAATAGCTCTGTTTCCATGAATCACGTAGGTTCTGTTTTCTGCTTGAATATCATCAATCCTCTCAAAATTCCAGATAGTTCTTTGAAGATGAATGATATCTAACAAAAGAAAACCGATACCCAGAATTATCTGTTTATTGCCTCAACCTACTTGATATCCGAAAGTAATGACTTAGACAAGTGGATACAGTGCAACTAGATCTCCAACTTATTTACTTGCTTACTTACGCCTGTTACTCCCAATGGAGCATAGGCCGCCGACCAGCATTCTTCAACTCACTCTATCATGAGCCCTCCTTTCTACTTCCATCCAATTGTTGTTCATTCTTCTCATGTCTATCTCCATTTCTCGGCCTAATGTGTTCTTTGGTTTTCCCCTTTTCCTTTGGTCTTGTGGCGCAGTTGGGTGCTTTCCTCAATGTGTGTCCTATCCACTTCCAGCGCTTCTTCCTGATTTCTTCCTCCGCTGGGATCTGGTTTATTCTCTCCCACAGTACGTTGTTGCTAATAGTCTCCGACCAACGGATCCGAAGTATTTTGCGTAGACAACTGTAAATAAACACCTGTATCTTCTGGATGATGACTTTCGTAGTTCTTCAGGTTTCTGCCCCATACAGCAGAACTGTCTTCATATTTGCATTGAAAATTCTGACTTTGGTGTTGATTGACAATTGTTTTCAGTTCCAGATGTTCCTCAGTTGTAAATATGCTGTTCTTGCTTTGCCGATCCGCACTAACCAGATCTCCAACTACGCCTTCACAATTATTTAAGCTTACACACACACACACACACACTTATTCACATTAAAATGTACCAAAAATAATACTCATATTGTTGATCATTTACCTCTGTAGCGATAGGCATAATCAGACGGTAAAATATAGCGAGATAGTCGGAGTCCGTCATACCTGTCTGTAAACATAATGGTTAAGCAAAATACAGATTAATATACTCATCATGAGTGTATTAAACAATCTAAAACATGTAAACAATCCGAAAACTAACTGTATATATATTTCACAATGGAGTTCTTGATGAGCACTGATGAATAATATAATCTATAGATTTCATATATCTTGTAATTCACGGTATTTCACTGTGGTCAATTGATTTTATTGGTTGGCATATATATATATATGACTAATCCCAATTGATTGATCACTGGGTGGTGATCAATGTCATGCGCGTCAAGTACTTATTAAGTGCAGATCGGATGCTATCGACCATGTTGCAAAGTGGCCACCAGTCTAGGTGACTCGACACTGCGTGCACTATATATTGAGATTAGATGGTGGTTGGAGGTAGTTAACAGGAAACCCTGAACCCGGGTTTCGTGTTATTTGGAACTCGTCAGCAAGGTGTAGCTGTAATATTGAGGGAACTGGTGCTCCCTGGCGGACCCGGCCATGATCGATAGCATTCAATCTGTACTAACTAAGGACTTGACACGCATGACATTAATCACCACCCAGTGATCAATCAATTGTGATTACATCTCAGTCCTACAGGAGGTCAGTCGCGGCCCGGATAGCTCAGTGGTAACGTCTCTGACTGTGACACGGGATCAAATCCGCCAGGGAGCACTAGTTCCCTCACGATTACAGGCACACCTTGGTGACGAGTGCCAAGTAGCACGAAACCCGGGTCCAGTGTTTCCTGTCGACTACCTCCAACCACCATCTAATCCCAATATGACTAATCTAAAAACCACTGAATCTATCATTTCCGTTTGTGTTTTTGTACCTGACGCTATACTATGTATGAAATATTCAGTATAAGCAGAGATAGATAATGGTTAGTAGTGGAATCCACGATATGCGTTTTGTCCTATGAATGAATTAAAAACTTTATCCTATTACATAAGCAATTGGCTATCATAACTGAGCAGCTAACTTGATCATACGATAATGTTTGGAGTGAATAGTACTGGATTCGAGTTCCGGAATGAATATCAATTCTGAAATGTAAGTACATCCAGTTGATCAGTCCTAAATAGGACGAAATGTGCATCAAACTGGATTCCACTAATAACCACTATCCATCTTTGCTTATTAAATGGACCATTTTCACTGGTCATTGAACTATTACGTAACTTACTTACTTACAATTTATGACATTATATCACTTCAGTTTCTTTCTTTTTTTATTGAGTACTGTTCTATTGATCATGTAGGTTTGTAAAAATCGATCCAAGTTTTACTACAAGCTACAACTGTAAGGCTTAATTAAGTAAATGAAATTGTAGATTAGCAAATTTTACCCTTGTTGGTATTGATTTTATTCTTCTTTGATGGTATGAATGGAGATAATATCGAGAACTTTCTTCCATTATAAAAAAATCCCGCAGAGTGCGGGATCGTGGATGCGCACTGCTGAGGAGTCCCATACTAGGACGAAACGGCCGTCCACTGCTTCCAGGTTTCCCATGGTGGTCTAGCTTCAATTGACTCATGATTTCAATTTGTAGCTCAGGTGAATGATTTTGATGAAGTTTTATTCTTTGAGTTGGATGGTTTGATCATGGAGCTTTCATCGTTCTTCTGAATGATATCATCAGCATAAAAATTCAGATAAAAGTCTACCAGCTCAGAGAATAAAACTCCATTCTATGAAGTAATATCTATCTGGATTTTGTACTGAAGAACAATCCGTCAATAGAAGTCTAATTAGCTATGATGGGTTAGTGTTTGATAAAGTTTCTGTATAGATTTAGAAAACTTTCTTGATTTTCTCTAGCTTCCATCACTTGTGGAGTAGGTCTGATGTTTGTCTGACAATTAAAGGGTACTACTTAATAGTTAGTTCTGTGTGAATTGTTAGGTGTGAAAAGTGGTCTTTGAAAATAGAGGATATTCGTAGGTTACTAGTATACGGATATAGACGTCTTCGAACCAATGCTCATGTATTTCGTGACCTTCGTGTTAGCAATACCGAAGTTAGATGCAAAGTTATGGATAAAGATGGAAAATCTACTGATGAGATAGTGTTACTTCATTAACTGAGGTGTTTAGGATGTGCATTATACGCACTAAATCTTTTTCCTGACTAAACGCGAGGCATTTTCTACTATGGAAGTAATTTTCAAGAAAGCTACGAGTGTTTTAACTAAAACTTGACATTAATCTATGTTTGTTGAAATGACCTGTGATGATAAGTACAGACGAGGTGGTTACAGTCCTCGTGCTCATTGTAACCAATGTCTAGAGATGTTGGGTAGCATGACCTAGAATCGGTCGTACTGGTACCTAACTATTCACTTTTGATCTTCCTTTAAATCTTAACGTGTAAAGTTATCTTATACTGTTTATTCTGTAAATTCATTTTTTCTTCTTAGATCTTTTTTTAATATCACTTACTCCTACTAAATGTCATTTCACTGGTTGAAATCATGAGTCAATTGAAGCTAGACCACCATGGAAAGCCTGGGAGCACTGGACGGCCGTTTCATCCTAGTACGGGACTCCTCAGCAGTGTGTATCCACGATCTCGCACCCCGCGAGACCCGAACCCAGGACCTATCAGCCTCGCGTCAGGCGCTTAACCAACTAGACCACTGAGCCAGCACCCAACGGTGTTAATGTCTAACTTCAACCAATCCACGAAGTTGCGCCACCGTACACCATTGTCTTCAGTGAATTCCTATCTAAATGGTTTGAATTGTATTTTGTGGTTAGCGTTTTTTAACGAGTTAGTTTTCTACGGGATGGGGTAGCTAACCCTATGCCCAACCCTCTTCCTTTACCCGGGCTTGGGACCGGCAGTAACTCTAGAAGTGAGAATCTTCAATACGAACGTCAAGGCAGTTCTACTGTATGGAGCTTAAACTTGGAGAACTACAACAACCACTATCAAGAAGGTACAAGTATCTATAAACAGTTGTCTACGCAAGATACTCAACATTCATTGGCCGGATACCATCAGCGACAGTCCTCTGTGGGAGAGAACAAACCAGCTTCCAGCTCAAGAGGAAATTAGAAAAAGACGATGGAAATGGATAGGACATACATTACGCAAATCATCAAACTACATCATAAGGCAAGACCTGATTTAGAATCCTGAAGGGAAGCGAAAAAGAGGAAGGCCAAAGAACAAATTACGTCAAGAAATGGAAGAAGATATGAAAGGGATGAATAACAACTGAAAGCAGCTGGGAAAGATTGTCCAGGACAGGGTTGGATGAAAAATACTAGTGAGTAGCCTATGCTCCTCCACGAGGAGTAACAGGCGTAAGTAAGAAATAAGACTGACACTTACTACTTCTGCTACTGCGGCGTATGTCGTAATGATAATGCGATATGGAAATGTAAACCAGTTCATATGTACGCCGGTAACTATGTTGTTTTTGAATGACTGACTGACTGACTGATAAGTAAATGACTTAATGATCTGTAGTATTTACTTATTTAATTAATTTTTCTTGAGACCGAACATTTCTTGCAAATTCTCTTCTTCTCTAGTATCCTGATTGATGAATTGAGAATATGTGAATTTTGTATGATTATCAAAAATGGTAACTCCAAATGTAACTCTTCTCTAGAGTTACTGTCGGTCCCAAGCCCGGATAAAGGAGGAGGGTCGGGCATAAACTCGTCAACTTCATCCCGTAGAAAAAAAAGTCTGGCTAAATAAAACGCCAACCAGACTGAAAATGTTGAATCGAATATCACAGTTAGTAGACTTAGTAGGGTCAGTAATGACTTTCGGTTATTGTTCGTTCACATTTAGTGTATGAATGAAATGTGATCTTATTCAAAAGTTTTCATTTCAATCGTCTAAAGTTATTTGTAACCAACTTCTGTGAACATATCAGTATAATGTAGTTTGACATCCTTGATAAGAAGTGAGAGTTCGAAACCAAATCTCTAGTAAAAAAAGGAAATCCCAATGTACACAATTGAACCACTGTCAGTCAGTCAGTCAGTTACAACGTAGGACTGAGCATATATATGCATCGATCCAAGTTGCCATACCTCATTAACACAACAAGATGGACACCGGATTCATAAAAGTAGTTAATTCAGAGGTGGTAGTATATAAAAGAAGGATTACATATAAGGACATAGTATAGGAAGAAAGAATTAGTTCGTAGAAAGAAAGATATGAAGTCATTTTAATCTCTTAGTTTGAGGGAAGACAGAGAGTGCATACATCGATGCCATTGTGATCGATTCTGATCCATATCACTAAGAGTCTCCAAATGAATCACTGAATGAAGAGTAATTGCTGGTTATGAACATTGAAAGTATCATGGATAAACTAAGTTCAAATATTTAAAGAATAAAACTTGAAATTACCTCTTCTAATGGAATATTAACATTATAACCTTTGCCTAAGTTTTCACCAATAAAATCATAATTTGCTTCACGTAAATTTGGCCAAAATTTTGCTTTCTCATAACGATGAATAGAAATATAAAGGACACTAAAAATGAAAATGTATCAATGTGATTTTGATCGATTATATTAAATATTAACTTTAGTAAGACAACTATTGAAAACTAAGAAGCATTGGATAGGTGTTTCGTCCCAGTATAAGAGTCTTCAGCAAAGTATATCTACGACCCTACAGAGGATTGAACCCAAAACCTTCAATCTTGCACTGGAGTGCTTAACTTCTAGACTTGTGAGCAGGTTAATCATTTGAGCACGAGATCGAACGTTCTACGTTCAATCTTCTGTAGGGTCGTAGATGTGCACTGTTGAAGACTCTCATACTGGGACAAAACACCTATCAAATTCTTCCTAGTTTTCAATAGCTGTCCAACTAAGATCGATGTATGACATAATCCAATAGTCCCCAAGAATCTCCTATAGTGTTATGTTTTCTTATCGAAATTATGAAATATTGTAAAGATTAATTCAATGATGATGAAAGTCTTTATGTCATCAGCCTATGTCAACTAAGTAATATTAAGCAAATATATCATCTTAACTTTGGCTCTTTATTATTAGTACATAATTACACCCCTATCAAGGAAAATCATATTTCTTGTCAAACAAATTGTCAGTATCAAATAACCCGCATTTCCAATTTCAGTTCATTCGTAATAGAATGGAACTATCACTGAATGTTATCTCTAAAGGAGTCCTGATCTATAGAATAACAACGATTCAGAATTATTGTTGTAAGAAGCGAAGACTATCCTCCCACTGTTTTTCTATGTAATGGATACATAGAATTATACCTAGTCTTCCAGAGATCATACTGATATAACGGATGGTTTAAACTACTTTTCTTTCTCAGATACAGTACGATACAATGAGACTTGTCATGTTATATCAGATCCAAGATTCACTATTCAGAATAAAGAACCAGATTAACATTAGACAATAATTTATTCAACACAGTCACGAACCATTACACTCAGTGAGTTCAGAGTAGAAATCAATGAGAGGGAAAGAAATCACAGATTTAGTAGTCGGTAGGTTAAGTGCCTGCTTGTCCATTCTCAGTGATCAATCACATTTTAATTTCCCTACCACAAATCATATACGATATCATTTGTTTCTACAGTGTTAAATATACACTTCTACGGGATTGATCTATGAATGGGATGTGTCATCTTAAGTAGAAACCTATTCAAAACGTCAGTCAGAGGTGGTCCACTCATCAAATGCAGCATATCCGTGAATGTATCCATATTCATCGCTGAAATAATCTTTTTTAATAAAACATGTTATCAGTGAAATCATGAGAAACACCCAACAACGTCCATGAGTCAAAATACCTAACAATTTACAACTCATACCTCAAATCATCTTCACTAAGACAATGAAATCAACTCCGTTCGTTACTCCAAGTCTGTCAATCTTTTCCGTTGTGAAATAGATTGTCAGCTTTGACAAGCACCTCATTCGGTGAAAAACCATCACCATTTAGGACGACCTATCTATATTATAAAGCTTAGCACTTAGAACCGAGTTTTCAAATTTCCTACAAAGATCAAATATTCTAAATAAGATATATGATGTCGGTTTGGAATCAGGGTTTTTCAACTCTCCTAGATGGATCCTCCATATCCATTAACCTGGCTAAAGCACTGGATACTACCTTTTCGTCTGCTCAATTTATCCACGAAAGGCAGTGAATAGGACTTCCTTGACAGTGGCTACATACGCGTGATCATGTGAGAGGATTTCGAAAGGGAGAGTGAACTCTTCCCATCCCTGATAGTACCAGGGCACTTATGGCAGGGAGGGCTCAAAAAGGTAGTTCAAAATATCGACCCAAGAGATACAAATTCTAACAGTTACTAATCAAAATTCAATCATAAATACTAACAACAAGATAACACAAACCCTAATAAATTCATGAACATAAGTTATTTAGTAACTATGTGAACAATTTTTGTAACCAATTAATTTATCAAATAAAAAATATTTTCAGAAAGGGTTTTGTGGAGATTTTAGTAATTTCAATAGTTGAAATCATGAGTCAATTGATGCTAGACCACTACGGAAAACCTGGAAGCACTGGAAGGCCGTTTCGTCCTAGTATGGGACTCCTCATCAGTGCGCATCCACAATCCCACCCCTAAAGAGTTCCAAACCCAGGACCTATCAGTCTCGTGCGTGAGCCGGCTCAGTAGTCTAATGGTTAAGCGCTAGCGCACGAGAATGAAGTTTCTCGGTTCGAACCTCGCCGGGGGGACGGGGTCATGGATGCGCACTGCCGAGGAGTCCTATACTAGAACGAAACGGCCGTCCGGTGCTTCCAGGTTCTTCACGGTGGTCTAGCTTCAACTGACTCATGATTTGAACTAATCAAAAATATTTACTATAACATATAAATATAACATTCAATATAAATAATCAATAACTTACCGATTATCATTATAAAATGCATATTGTGTCCCTTGTCCATGATGTACATCCCAATCAATAATTAATATACGTTGTAAATAAGTTAAATTATGTTTATTTATTGATTTCTTTGTTACTGTGTTTACATCACTAGGTTGAAGAAACTTAGCAGCTGTAATAGCGATATTATTAAATATACAATAACCACAAGCTTCTGAACGCATAGCATGATGACCTGGTGGACGAATTAATGCTAAACCATTAGATAATTGATTAGTGATAATTAATTCAGTTAAATGTTTTACACTTCCAGCTGCTAATGTTGCACAAAGCCAAGTGTACTGTAGATGAAAAGAAAAACAATTTTTAAAAAATAACAAACATGATTAGTAAGATCTGATTGAGATCATGAACTGACTGATATCAGTCAGTCAGTCAGTCAGTCAGTCAGTAACAACGTAGAACTTCGTAAGTACGTACATCAGTTCGAGTTGCCACACCACATTAGCACAGAGATGCAGTGGCCGATTCAAATCCCGTAGTGCTAGATGTACATACGTACAGCAGTTATCGATTCAAATCTCGTGGTGGTAGAGGTAATAAGAGTATAAGCAGTAATCGGGAAGATTAGTGTTTGGAGATGTTACTTAAAGAGTATAATCCAGTGAAATAAATTTGGGAAGAGAAAAAAAGAGACAAGGAGGACTAAGGAGATCAAAATTTGGGAGAACACAAAGAGTGTATGCACCTGCGCACACCATTGCAAACGATTTTGAGCTATGTCATTCAGGGTCTCTAACCATCGGTTGCTATCATCTCGAGGTCCCCATTCAGGTAGTCTACACCTACCGACATGACTCAGTCCACTTGTCAGTGATTTCATGGATTTTTGCCACGGTTTGGATTGGCCGCCCCTAGCTTTCTTCCAACCTACTCCTATACCACTGAACATCGCACGTCGAGGCAGTCGGTCGTTGGGCCATTATTGAAAACCTAGAAGCACTGGATGGCTGTTATGTCCCTGTGGGGGATGCCTCAACAGTGTGCATCCATGAACCCTCCTTACGAGATTCGAACACAGGACATATCGGTCTCGCGCGTGAACACTTAACCCCTATACCACTGAGCTGGCCGGCATCCAACAGTGTTGATGTCTAACCTAGACTAATCCACGAATCCCGCGAGTGGGATCGTGAATGCGTAATGTTGAAAAGTCCCACAATAGGATGAAACGGTCGTCCAATGCTTTCAGGTTTTCAATAGTGGTCTAACATCAATCAGTTCATAATCTCAATCAAAAACTTAATAATCTCCACAACCCTATACTGATAATTAGTAAGTGTTTGAGGTATTCCCTTGTTGATATTCAAGAGTGAATTTGTGGTCATCCTTTTTTTATACAAGGGAGATCCTGTACGGATTACCTCGATATACCCATCATAACACAGGTTTCTTTTTAAACAAATGATTTATGGCTAATACTGAAATCTAAAACACTGAATAAGTCCTATTTGAAACGTGTTAGAGCTGGATGTACCTATTCCCCACTACTAACGTTTACCTTGCAACTCGAACCCAATACCTTTTGTTACATGCGCTAATATTACCACTAACTTGTTCAAAACTTATAATTTCCAAATGTAAGTATCAATATTGGAATGTAGGGCACATCCAGTTAACGAGTCTTAAATGGGACGAAATACGCATTTTGGAGTCTACTCTTAGACAAAGTCCGTCCACATTTAATTAGTAAGTACTTGATGCATAACTTTGTGATTTTTTTAATGAAAATATTGTAAGTTACACTACAATTTTTATGAAGGTATTATGTCTAAGTACCTGAGACTCTGTATAAGATGGTACTTAGTCTAGAAAAAGATGTTACGAAAGTTCAGTATAATTTACTTGACCGTAATCCTATTTCTTATACTTCAAGATCTTTCTGAAATTGAAGAGATTGTTATGGATAACCAATAAAACTAATCCTATCAGAAGGGGTTTTTTGCGGATGGATATTACAGTAATTTCAATAGTTGAGATCATAAGTCAATTGAAGCTAGACCATCATGGAAAATTTGGAAGCAGTGAACCGCAGTTTCGTCTTATTGTGGAACTTTTGACTGTGTTCTTACGTCTCTGGAAGAGATTAATATTTATTCACTTGTCAAGCATGATGTCCCTCAGTGAGCTATTCTTTATCTCTGTTCATTTCTTTTCCCTTTTTCTTGTGTGATTTGTTTCTATGAAGAACACATTTGTAAAATAATAAAATCGTCTTGATGTGTGTATGCTCACTTTTTCCTGTTCCGATTATATAGAAATGATTGAGTTGTTTACATTTATTGAACAATACCCATCTCTGAATCACCTTATACTTAACTTTTCTAGATTTTGTAAGAGTAGTACAAACAATCCCTTTGTGGTTGTAGATAGAGGCCCACAAATGCCCTGGTACGGTCGAGGGTAGGAAGAGTCCGCTCTCTTTCGAAATGCTCTCACATGGAAACACGTAAACATCCACTACCAGAGAAGTCCTATTCACTGTCTTCTCGCGGTGAGGGTGTCGTTTACGAAATTGAGAGGACGAAAAGATAATATTCGGCACTTTAACTGGGTTGGTGGATACAGAGGATTCACTTAGAGTTGAAATACTCTTATTCCAAACCAATGGTACACATGGGCTCCAGTATCCGGAGGAAACAAAAGGCGTATGAACCAATTGTTGGTCACTGACTACCATGTGATTGCATCTCCTGACGTTATCCAACTGCTTTGTGTATCAGACGTTCAGGTTGAAAGCTCCGAATGTGGCTCCCTAAGAAAACCACCTTCTTCGCTCTGGGCGCCCGGTCAGTAACCCAGCCCTCACACAAATCAATTAATTTATATGGTGCATATGTATTCGGTGCCCCTTTGTACCAATATTTATATGTTCAACTAAATAAATAATAAACTTAATAATGGTCATTATAAAAGATACATATGTGCTGTTTTATCTCAATTTGATATTCCCCATCAACACATATCTATGACTTTCAGGTATCGTGGAGATTACAATAACTGAATTATTCTTCCAAAAAGGTTTCAATTTCAATTTATTCTTGATAGTTGGTTGAGTCCAAAATGTACATTGGTGATTACTCCGGTATCAAAAACAAAACAGATTCCCAGTACACAAAACTACCAAGAGCCTTAACTGACCATTCACACTATATGAATATAGCATGTGATTAGTTATATAAACTATCTTACTTCTTACTTACTCCTGTTACTCCTCGTGAAGGAGCATAGGCCACTCACCAGCATTCTCCATCCAACCCTGTCCTGGGCAATCCTTTCTAGCTCCGTCCAGTTGTAATTCATTGCTTTCATATCTGCTTCTATTATCCGACGAAATGTGTTCTTTGGCCTTCCTCTTTTCCGCTTCCCTTCAGGATTCCAAGTTAGGGCTTGCCTCGTGATGCAGTTTGACGATTTGCGTAATGTATGTCCTATCCATTTCCATCGTCTTTTCCTAATTTCTTCTTCAGCTGGAAGCTGGTTTGTTCTCTCCCACAGAAGGTTATTGCTGATGGTATCCGTCCAATGGATGTTGAGTATCTTGCGTAGACAGCTATTTATAAATACTTGTACTTTCTTGATTGTGGTTGTTGTAGTTCTCCAAGTTTCAGCTCCGTACAGTAGAACTGCCTTGACGTTCGTATTGAAGATTCTCACTTTGATATTGGTTGAAAGTTGTTTTGAGTTCCATATGTTCTTCAATTGTAGGAATGCGACCCTTGCTTTGCCAATCCTCGCCTTTACGTCTGCATCGGATCCTCCTTGTTCATCGATGATGCTTCCCAGGTATGTGAAGGACTCTACATCTTCCAGAGTTTCGCGATCAAGTGTGATTGGATTGCTGTTCTCCGCTTTGAATTTGAGGACCTTGGTTTTCCCTTTGTGTATGCTGAGGCCTACTGATGCAGAGACTGCTGCTACACTGGCTGTCTTCATCTGCATCTGTTCGTGCGTACGTGATAGGAGGGCTAGGTCATCTGCGAAGTCTAAATCGCCTAATTGATTCTGAGCTGTCCATTGTATTCCGTGTTTTCCTTCAGATGTTGAGGTCTTCATAATCCAGTCGACCACCAGAAGAAAGAGGAAGGGAGAGAGTAAACAGCCTTGTCTGACTCCGGTCCTTACTTGGAATGCATAGTTATATAAACTATGGACAGATCAATTCTACCGTATTCTGTTTGGAAAACTTAAATACATTATATCATCTTAGTGTATGTCATCGGGAGGAAGCATGGGATATAATGGACAGCTAGGATTCAGCTGAACAATCTAAACTTCGCAGATGATCTGGCTCTTCAGTCGCACACGCAACAACAAATTCAGGAGAAGACGTATAGTATCAGTCATTATTTTAAGCCCATCATAAATCTTATTCTAGTTTTTGGACAACCCAATCTATTCATTCTACTTGAGTCATATCTGTTGACCTTGTTAATTATTCGCTTATCAATCTTGACTGTTTTTATATGAGCGTATATGTGTGCACACTTCATATCCCATGACTCATCACATGTCTGTAGTTCATTTTGTCTGCCTATGAATATTGAGTAATGCCTGACTAGAAATGGAGCTGGCTTACCAACCATCTGCACTGCGCGTTGTTATGCTTTGCTCTATTTCATTAGCTTGTTGTAAGCACATCAAAGAAAGGCTATCACCAGAATGAGTTTTGTGGAGATTTTAGGAAATTTCATAGGTTGAAATCATGAGTCAATTGTAGCTAGACCACCATGGGAAACCTGGAAGCACTGGACGGCCGTTTCGTCCTAGTATGGGACACCTCAGCAGTGCGCATCCTAAAATCTCCACAAAACTCATTCTGATAATAATCAACTGCTCACTAGTGACTGACTTCAGGAGATACTCCTGGAGTTCTAGTGAGAAGCCGTCACCAGTGGAGTTCAACCAGGTCTGCTGTGAGATATCAGCTCACTAAAGACAATGGTATATGGTGGCGCAACTCCGTGGATTGGTTGAAGTTAGACATTAACACCGTTGGATGCCGGCTCAGTGGTCTAATGGTTAAGTGCTCGCGCGCGAAGCCAGCAGGTTCTGGGTCCGAATCCCTCTGTGTGGGTGCGCGTTCGTGGATGCGCACTGCTGAGGAGTCCCGTACTAGGACGAAATGGCCGTCCAGTGCTTCCAGGTTTTCCGTGGTGGTCTAGCTTCAATTGACTCATGATTTCAACCTATGAAGGTCTATCACATCATAAAATGTGAAGACAATAGTTCGAGGAAGATTTTCTCTTAGACGATGTCATATATTTAAGCAACTCCGCCC